GCCTGTGTTTGCCCAAAATGTCAAACATGTCAAATTAATTTTCATATTTGTTTTGCTTTTTAGATAATTGAATGTCTCTTTTATTTGCTCATTTCATATTCCACAAGTCTGCATGTTTGCATGTTTGATTTTCTGTGGTTTATCTTCATGCCTTTTGGAAAAGTAAATGTTTTTTAAATATGAGTTGCAAAACTTTCCTGCCACTCCCCCGATTATCGATTTAAGTAGGAAACTTAATAGTAAGCAAACAAATAAACAAAGATATTGTTGTCTTCAACAGCGGTATATGTAAATGTTTTATCGGAAAAATGTAATTTGTTTAGATCCCTTTGGAGAAAATTCTTAAGAAATTCTTGTACTAATTAATTAACCTTTGCTAAATAATGATAAAATTAAATCTAGCTAATTGATTACTCACTTTCAGTGGCAGCTAAATGATTCAAATTAAAATAAATCACTTAAACTCCGCAATAACTTGATTGAATGCAAATTGTTTTGAAATAACTCTCTTTTCCAATTAAAAATTAATAATTTAATTAAAATTGTAATCAAGTTTGTGGAAAATTTGTGTCAATTATATATGCGTGTGCTATCAATGCGGATAAATCACCAGTACCTCAACTACAGATAGGTATGCCAATGTTGGTGCGAGAAAGACAATCAAGTAGGTACCCCAGCCACATTTGTGGAACCTTTGGCATATACATAAACAATTACACTAAGTGCCACAATTTACCAAGGGCCATAAATCAATAGGGCCAAGTAGTTGGAGTCGGTTTCGTTTTACTAATTATTATTATTGAAATATATCTGCCACAGTCGCACTGACAGTGCCCCCTGCTCGACATCGAGCAAACAGAGAATTACAGGCTTTACTCAGTGTCAATAGGGACGGAGATACAGGCACTGGACAGGCTTAAATTATAGTGTAGCTGATTCCTGTTTGTTCGCTGGGCCAGTGATAATCCCGGCGAAACTGCAGCTAAAAATTAAGCAAAGCTCGTAAGCGGCTCCACTAAAGTATGCAATGGAAATGCGATAATAAAGCGGAGTGCGATGGAGGGAAAGTGGGTGGAAAGCGGAGCGGTCTAAATAATGTGAGTTGCTAATAAAAAATGCAGCAGGCAGGGAGCAGGCCAAGCGGAAACGGAAATAAGAAAGCAGCCCGAAATCAAAAAAGGACGCAGCAGATGGAGGAGCTCACTCCTCACTCCTCACTCCTCGTCACTTATTTCGTACACAAAGTACATATTTTACTTAAACATAAGCAATGGCTATTATTTTAAGTTACCCACGCGCTCACTGATTTAATTTCAGACTATTATGCGCACACAATGCCAACGGTAAACGCAGAGCGAAACTAGAGGAAAAGTAAAAGCCCCAAGGAGGGAAAAGGAGTGGGAGCGAACGAAAAGTTTTCCAGCAAGACGATGCTTTTAATACACTTTGCATAGCTCACTGTCAGGGCTTTTATAGTTTCAAGGTATGATGGAATAACTGATTGATGGAAACACCAGAAGACGATATAAAGCTAAGAGAAAATGCTTAAATTTGTAATGCTTGTCATACCAAATACTCTGTATTAAAGAAATATTTATTCTAGCCTAGAGCCTTTTTAGAATTTCTTATATGTGAAATGCAGAATGTTGAAATTGTGTATGAACATCACAAAACAAAATTAAATTCCTAAATATTTTTAAAAGCAGTCAAGTCCTTACCGTTAAGTACGTATTAAAAAAGTAATCAAAATCGTTCCATTATTACTTCTGAAGCCCCAAAAACTCAATACAAATTGCTAAGCTCTTCCTGTAACCCAAGTACTCTTTACTCTCAACTAGTGCAAAGTTTGCTCTATTCCAGGCTAAAGCAATATGCCGTGGTTTTTAACTCATGTTGGTTTTCCACTTTTTATGCTTTTGCATTTCTTCATTTTCTTGCCCCTGCAGATTTGGGTCGACCGTTTGAATGAATTTATATTCTGCATCTACCTTCCGCCCCAACTAAATTTCTTGCCTCAGTTTTTGCTCTTAATGCCCCCCAGCCCGTCGGGCTTCTTTTATTTTTGTTCACTGGTCAACATTGGAAGTACATTAGGCTTTTCACTAATTTTGTAAAAATGGAAGGCAGCCTTTGGATGCTGATTGGAAGGGGAAACAAAATCGGAGGTTCAGATTCCGGATTAGCATTGGCCGGGCCGAACGCATGGCTTCACATTTCAAAACAATTTGTGCTAATTTCAAGCCATGATGACTGTGAAATCGAAGAAGCTCCAAAAGAAAACTGGGAGAGGAGAGTCAAAAAAGCCGAACGCTGCACTCGAATGAGGATTAAGTTTGATTGGAGCGGAAGTCGAATATGCCAAGCTTTCAATGGAAGGGGAAATAAAATTTTAGAAGGAGACCCTAATTGCTGCATGATATAAGAAAACGAAATCATGGTTTTTAAAAGTTTGAATAAAAGTCTTGTTTGCTTTCGGCTGCCAATAATTAGAGGCTAACCGAACATGTAATTAAAACAAAAGCAAGTAAGGCCATATAAATTCAAAAGAATATCAAATTTGTAAGCCCAAGGCATTTGCTGGCCTCATACAGTTTTTGATGGGTATTCAGCAACGAAAATCAATCGCTCTACATACAAAAATTTATCACCGTCTAGACTGAAACCAAATGCATTAGGCGAGAAACAAAATTCGCTGCGCAATTTCACCAATAACAAAGCCTGATTTCCCATAAAGTACAATAAAAGCGCAGGCAGTAAGCAGCTTTGATTACCGCCACTCACAACGGATTTATTTCCCCTTACCAGGGTTTCTGTTACCCTTTTTCGCTCAGTGTGCGAGTGTGTGTGCTTGCTTAGGCATTTGAAACCTGATTAGTTGTCAAGCACTTCAAGTGCTCGAGCTCGAGTTGTTCGGTATATACTTTGGGTTGGGCTTACCTCTGCAGCTGTGTGTGAAATTTATTGTTTCAAGTTAATGCCACTTGATGGATTATTTGGCTTTGTACAGCCAAAGCTTTGATTTCTGTTCTTCTTTGCTTTGAAATGTGATATTCCAAGGGTTTTTTCAAGCGCTTTAACTTGAATGTATGCGAACGTTTTAACAAAACGAAATTAATGATATAAGTGTATTACATATTCTTTTGTTGAAGATGTGAGTTTTTGGATCCATGCAAAAATTTTTTTTTTGAGTTTAAGAACTACTGGTAAATCTCAGAAAAGTATTTTAAACTGTTGCGTTGTTGAAAACTCCTTCTACTGTTTCTTACCCACCGAATAAATAATAATAATAATATATTTTATATGTTGTAAATATCTAAAACTACCTAATATAACTAAAAATATAAATTTTCTTATTTTCCCCAAAAAATTTAATAAGAATCTGTGCGGTTGAATTGAATAGTTTCCTAAAAATTATTGCTAATTTTTTTTTACTTCTTAAAGTTATAGCCAGTAATAATTTAATTTATTTGTTTTCTCCAGAAAAATGTAATCCAACAAATGTTTTTATAGTTCGGGTAGGTTTAATCTCAACAAACTTCTGTTTCAAATGCGTTAGAAGTCAGCTTGGCAAGTTTTACTATTAACTATTCAAATGAATTGTGAAACTTTTCACTCTGAATTTGATGCGAGTCACACGCTTCGTCTTCCATTTGGGCTCATAAATCTCGGCTGTCTACACACACACTCGTATCCTTTCACCCGTTGTCCTCCAGAGCCTGTCAACAAAGGGCCAGTGAAAGTTTTCGTGTGTCATGATAATATTTACATGCTGCATTAAACTTGCTCTCCTTGACAGGCGAAACTTTTGCAGCTGCTGCTCATGTTATTAAAGTTGCGCATACGCCAGGTTGTCCCCTGGCCAGCTTGATTTATGCGAGGAGCCCTAAGTTCTTGGACCAGCCTCTTAATAATTTAAGTTCCGCAGAAAATCAGAGTCGAGATAGCTCCCCCTCGGTATCCCTTTTGGCCCGATGCCAAGCCACGTTGCGCTGACTGAGCCGAAAAATGCAAAAATTTCCTGCTGCCGTTCCTGCTTTCTGGCCATGTTGACAATGCCGGCAACAAAGCGCATTTGGCAACCGCCTGCAGTCTTGCCAACACCCATACCCAAGCCCACACCTCTTACCCATATCCACATGCGAAGACGTGCTCAGCAAAAGTGAAATGGCAACAATATATGTGCGAATGCACAATGCAAACGGGTGCGAGACCCACCGAGTTGTATAGTACTTGCATGCTATATATACGAATATATATATGTATATAAAAATATAAAAAGTAGGTTATCCACAGACAGCACTTTAATATGATTTCCATGGCTTACGTCTCCTCGAGATAGACTAACGCACTTCGCAGACTGACTAACTGACACCCCGGCATCAACAAAATGATCAAAGGCAATGGGAAATATTATCCCTGACACAGTCGCAGACAAATTGTAAGTTTCAGTCGTTTGTCTGACCCACTTTCATGTTGTGGCTTAAAACACATCAGCTGAAATTTTCAGCAAAGTTGATATCATAATGTTCCGTTTTTGCTCTGATTTTAAGCTTTATACTGACAAATTCCTGACAAATCTGTATTATTTTACTTTATACGAATTAATGTTTTATTTCAGGAGAAACCAAAACATTTTATTATCCCAATTGGATTCCAAATCGCGTAGATTTTAATAAGGATTATTATTATTATTACTCTGGTTATGTTGTATCTTTTTATTTCTGGACTCAATATCATTACAAGCAAAGGGCGGGTGATTTTGGAGACTGAAATCATTTCAAATGTGCAGGGCCTTTGTTTTATATTGATTTGTTTACCTTTTATTACCATTCGATCCTAGGAAACTGATTATTTCTATTTTAAATGCCTAGCACAATCGCCTGCATTATTATTCGTAGCTTACTTTTGAGCGTTTCTTTTTCGGTCGAAGATTAGGTAGTAGGTAGAAAGGATATGTATGTGTTTATTTGGGTAGATATTTACTCCCACCAAGGACTTACCCCTGCTTGGCCGTATTGTATCCTTTTGCTGTGGCGTTTACTCCGCTTTTTGGCGTTTTTTACGGCCTTTGTAATAAAAGCAGCCCGCAGGGATGGAGTTGTTGCTGCTGTGCTTATTGCTTATTGCTGCTGTTGAGGGCGTGTTGGCATTGAGCGGGTTTTATGCAGCCAGCGAGACGCACACATCATACCAATGAGCGGAGGAGGCGCAGAAGGAGGAGCGGCGGGCAGGCAATTGAGCAAAAAATATGGAAAAGTATTTGGCGGGTGCGAGGCATAAATTTCGATTTCGGCGGCCTTGCTTTGGTTGGCTTTCTACAGACTTTCTCGTCTTCGAATCGCCGCCAGCCACGGGGCCAATATTTAAAGTAGCAGCCGATGCGAACTTTATTTATGACTCAATAATGTGTATTTTGATTTATGCATTGTGGGCGCGTACACCAGCGCACATACACACTGTAACTGCGGCACACATACACACTCAACCGCACTCACTCACACACACTCACTGTATTGTTGCCTCAAGCCAAAACGATGCGATTTGCATAACAACACATCCAGAAACTTAACGCAGGCATTTGAGATGTTTGTAGCACGTGCACTCTCGTCTCACTTAACGCTTTACCAGCATTCAACAATTGCGATAACCGATGGCGGAATACTTTTAAATATCTGGGCTGGCACTTGTTTCTTGATTTTCCAGCTGCCTTGCTTCGTTCGAGAGATTGCGGATGCGGACGGTCAACACTGCGGCTACGCGATGTGAGGCGATGCGTTGATGCCCATACGACAGCGACAACGACAACGACAACACGACAACGAGAACGAGAACGACAACGACAAGCGACAACAACGGAGCACGACAACTACACAAATCCACGACCTTTTCAGTACTAAAGCGCCTGGCCATTCATTCGTGGCTTTGGCCACTTTTGCCATCGCCCTCCACGATTCGGATCCTTCGGCTCGCGTTCGGGTCGCGCATTTTCGAATTGCCGAGCAGTCGAATCCTTTGCGTTCCCGTGTGTGTGAGCCTTGTAAGTGGGCCAACGCTTGTCGCCGGTTCGACACCGAAAAGCGAACGGCTGGCACCAGCGGTATAAGAGTTTTGGGGGTTCAAATCCAACAAAGCCGCTTGATTAGTGGGTCTGTGGAAGGTAAGCTTTTCTCAAATGCCACATGAACTTGAATTGTCAAGATTGTCAGCGGAATATAAACTATGAAAGGGATAATGATTACTAAAAAAAAGTTTATTAGTTAAATGGTTATTATTCTTTCGTATTAAGAATGGTTGCTTTAATATATTTCGATATTCTTCAGGTCTAAAGAAAAACCTAAGAGGACTGACTATAATTTATTAAATAATTGAACAATTATATTAAAATGTAATCATTTTTTTTTTAATCCGAACATTATTCTATTGATGAAAGTATTTTTTACAAATCTTTTGGCTTAAAAATATGTACCATGAACCTTAACAATATTTTTCGAAAAATTATCTTCCTTAAGATCTTATACTGCCACAAATTTTAAATTAATGTTTTTTAAACTGTGACGAATGCAAAATCAAAATATATGTGTTTGATCTGACACTTTTCTTTGTTGTAAGGAGTCGGTCCTACCTCAACACCCTGCTCCCCTTCTGAACCTTTTCCAAACACGTTCCACCACGCATTTTTGTGGATCCTTTTGCCCTCCCTCGTCTTGCTCTCTCTATCTAACTGCCTCTTGCCGTCTCTCCTTAGTGCCGCCTCTCCTTAGATGAATGAGAGTTTCAAAAATCGGTTACCAAGAGCATCTCAAAGTTACTGCAGCTTCGCTGGTCAAGGCAGCCAGTCAAGGATCACAGATTACAATGAATATTGCATTTATATATAGCTAAAATACTTGCAACATATATAGTACCATACAACTTAAAAAGATAATAAAGCCCCACAGAAAATTAAAAAAAAATAGTATACCAATAGACCTTTTTTCGGACTTATTCATTTTAATTAAATGCCGTTTTTCCGTTATTTGAACTATAAAGCCGTAACATAGCTCTGTTCATGATTTTACCCAAGTCAAGTCATTCATAAAAAAGAATTTTTTTGATAATTCGTTAGGTTGCAGGCTAAGCTACAACTTAACCTACACCACCGTCAAAATCACGCAGCACAACGCTTACAAAAAACTCTACTACAATGGGGTGTAAGCGTGTAAGTTGACATGGGACCACGAGACCCGAGTCTTGAATCTCTCCAGCTTTCTCTCGACTTTCTCCCGCTCTCTTTTCGATTTCGAATTTCGTGGTTTCGACAGACATGCGCCCCAAACCACCGAAAAGCCGAACGAAGTGTGGAACCTAGAACACATTCGTTTGCCATGAATGGGATTTTTTCAAAATTTCCAACGGTTTCACTCTTATACCACTCAAAAAAAGCTTCCGCCTTGTAAGAAATTGCACTCAAAGAATAAAGAAGGGCCCAGAGGTTCCACTGCAACAATTGCACAGCCTAATCTTATCAAATTTCATTTACACGCTTGGCCAAACTCTAATGGCAAATCCAATGCCGTAATGAAAATAGCACTAAGCCACTTTTGTCAGCACACACATGACATTTCTCCTTATTTTCCACACTATGTTAGGGACACACATATATGGAAAAGGTTACTAGTGATGTTGTCAAAGTATTTGGCTGCTCAACACGGCATTCTTTGGACCAAAATTGCGCTGGCTAAACATTAACTAAAACTGCAAAATTCCATCACACACACATAGACACACTGAAACACCCAGGACGACACTCACACACATGCAAGTTCGTGTGTGGTGTGGACTGTCGGTCTTCTGCAGCTGCAAAATCTCAACGCTCAACCGCCAAGCATGGCATTTCATCAGGCGGCAGCAACTAGAGCAGCAGCCCCAGAATCAGCCCAAATCTAGGCAGCTGCAGCTGGGATCGTGACTCTACTGATGCCCATTAATTTCTTAAATATACTTATTAATGAACCTCCATTAGATTACCAAGTCAGTATTACAATTGAGGTATATAATATATAGTAAATTATTGTAAATTGATTTGGCTATGCCATTTTACCCATTAAAAATTGCAAAAAAAAATAAACTTTGAAAATAATAAATAGTTTACAGACTACCATTTACAATACAAACCACCTAAGCGTAACTGTTTCAAATATCTTGTCACTTCAATAATAAACTCTTAATAAGCTCGATCAATAATTTGTGTTTATTCATATTGTCAAACAATGCAGATATCCGGTTGGCCTTGCTATGAGACAGTTTTATTTATTAAAAGCTTATAATTAATTACAATGAGTTTCCCTTGCTTCATCACAGCTGCTTTCACCCATTTTCCCATGTACCTCAAGTCAGTAATGAGTAGCAGGTTTAAAAACCCTTAACCCACTGCTGGCCCACCCCTTTCGCTGGCTGGCGAAAAACCCCAGCAATGCGAGCAAAGGAAGTGCACTAAGAGCAGTGACCAAATAGCTGCCAGAGAGTCCCGAACCGGCAGCTGATCCTGCTCCTGCTCCTGCTCCTGCCCCTGCTGCTTCTGCTGTTGCTTCTGCTGTTGCCACCGCCAGGAAGTGGCGATGGTGTTGCACATGACTTTATAGCTTTTACATTAATCTGTGTGATGGTGTGCGGGTGTGAGAGAGCCTGGCTCTGTGTGTGTGAGTGCGACAGTTTGGCTATAAAGCAAAAGTTGCATTAAATTTAAATCATGAGACGGCGGTTTCTGTGGGCACCACTCTCTGATAAGCCCACACTGACGAAAATGGCTGGTTTCGCCTAATTAAATGTATCGCAGATAAGGGGTATTCAACGTTTTGGTACTAGAAAAATACAATTTCATGGCAAAAATTAAAGCTAAGTAACTTAGCTAAAGTTGCAGAACTCTAACTACCAATTCTAAAAAAATTCAAAGTAATGAGTATTTATTCATTTTGTGTAGCCAAGCCATTACTATAAAAAATTTATTAAGGTCTTATTTCAGGGCAGTACTCTAATTAAGAATTCAATAGTATTATTATTGATTTATAAACCCTAATGTTAACTTAATTCTTGAGTATTTAAAGAGTGGTTTCTCCAAGTGCCTGGCTAACTGCATGTGAGCTGATCTGAAATAAGCTGGGTAAAAGTTAGGGCTAAGCGCCGCTCAACGTTTTGTCATTAAAAGTTGAGCTGGTGCATCGGAAAGCTTTTCGCGGTGGCCCCGACTTGCATTCTCCTAACCGCCTCCAAAAATCAAGAGCCCTGCAATCACAATTAGCCCGACAACAAACGCAATTTGCATGCGAACGCGATGCGGTGTGAGCAACAATTACCTAATTATAACGCACTTTCGATGCATTGTCATAAACAGAGGTGTGTGCGTGGGCAGGATCCTATGTGCGGGCAGGACAACTAATTAATCAGCTTTCGTAATCAATGCTTAATGATGCAGCACCATCAGTGGCAGCGCAACGGCATTTAAATGGTCTATAATTAAATCAAACACTCAATTAAACCGGAGACGAATCGAACTGGGACCGTCGGGCTCAAATTGGATAAGGTTACCGATGGCCTGCTAATGAATAGCAAACCAAACAAAATTATAGCCTGCAAGAGCCGAGTCATTGAGACCTTTTTCAACCTCTGGCGGGCCAACCTCAGATGGTTTTCACTCATTAATTAATCAAAACTTCAAATAGTAACCACAGAAACCGAACGGGCTGTGCTAAAACGTGGCGCACATCAAACTGACCAAAGGGTACTCAAAGGATTTCTTTGTCCTTTGGCAATCTAAAAAGTTATCACTTAATTATTCATCAGGTAAGACATTCGAATATATAAGCGCAGTATGTGCTATAGTTGATAAGCATCTACTTTACATAATAATAATTGGTTTTATTTAAATTTACATATCCTTACAGAACTAGATGGGCTTAGTAAAATAAATGTCAATAAAAGTAAATATAGTTTATTGGTAAATGGTTTTAGTAATAGTTTGATTCTTAAGAGTTTTTTAAATGGTTTTATAAAACTAAATTTACGGAAAACAGCATTTTAATTCTTAAGTTTTTACCACTGCTTAAAAAATGATTATTAAATTTTTAAAGGCATCACTATGGTTACTAAAAAGGTCACTAATTTCATTAACCGAGCCGTTCAATTTTTAGTTGATAAATATAGGTACGAACTCTTAGCATACAGAGCATTTTGTATTCGTTGTGTTTCTGCCAACTCCTTTTACTCCTTCGTCTGTCTTGTATCTGGCTTCCTTTTGGTCAAGCCGTAAATTTATTTTACCACACATTGAGATACATTCCATTGGGAGCATGGCGGGGACAAGTCGTCTGCTTTTTGGCCAAGTGGCAAGTTTACCGAAACTTGCAAAAAAGCTGAAAACTAAAAGGAAAGGGGAGAACTGAACTAAAAGGAAACAGCAGCAGCGGCATTGGCAACTCCGGGCTGCTGCAATCCAGATTCACAGCCAGCCGCAGAGGTGTAACCAAGTCCTTACAACAAAAACTTTCAACACATGTTGCTGTGTGTGTGAGTTGATGTTGCTGTTGCTTTTTCTGTTGCCATTGCTGCTGTTAGCAGCCAGTGAGGCGAGCAAAAGCAGCAGCGGGACGATGGACGTTAGACGTTGGACGATAGACGCCTCCTGGCCAGGAGCAGACTTCCTCAAATATTAAAAGTCCAAGCAGGAGAAGGACAAACACAGCTGCAAGCAGAGGGATCACTGAGAAAAATATAACAATTAAATTAAATTAATGTTGAAATATGGGTTTTTTTGATTTACAAGGTTTTCTTAATGAAATCGATGCCTAACTTGACAAAACAGACATAACAATACCCCAAATTATAC